GATGGCCATTTATGTGTTTTACACAAGGGCGTGTCTTGAATCAGATTTACAATTTAGAAAGACCACATTCACTGCAATATGGAAAACAGGGCTGGTCTGGGCAAGCCAGCATCACACTAAGGAGACCAATAATTCACCAAAATTTGGTGGGTGTTGATCAACTTAGTAGCAGTGATGATGTCCAAGGAAGTGAAGAGAATCAGGGAGATGTTCAGAAGGTAGAACTCAAAGGAACTGGAATCTAGTTTAATTATGGGATAAGAGAGAGACAGAATTAAGGATGACTCCCTCATGTCGGTCTAGGTGTAGATGGAGGTGCCTTTACAGAGAGGAGAATAAAGGAAAGGACGGCAAGTTTCAGGAGGGGCAGACAAACAGGATATGTTTAGTTTTGGATATATGTCCTAAGTTTAAAGAGCTGTGGACATGTAAAGAGAGATGTCTAGTAGCATTTGAAAATACATATGTGGTTCATGTACAACTCTAATATTCTGTGATTCTATTCTATCCTGTGGACTTACAGAGAGTCACTATTTACTGAATTTTAAGGAATCCCAGGGTAGGCAATAATATTTATGATTTGGAAAGAATCTTATAGATATTAGCAGGCCAATACATTAGCATCATTAGAGTCATAAAAAAAAAAAGAAGAAAAGAAAAGAAAATATGTACCTGGAGTTCTAAAGAGAAAATGTGCTGGGGCTCCAGATATGCTATTTGAATGTTAGTTGGAGACACTGGAGCAGATGAAATCACACAGAACCTATCTATAGAATGGAAAACAAAGAAATAAATGGGACAGATCTCAAGGAACATCAACTTCTAAGAGGTTATCAGAAAGAAGATGCATGAAGGAATTGGGTAAGATACAGCTTGAGCTTGGAGAAGAACTAGCCGAGTACAGGATCACAGAAACAAAAGGGAATGTTTCAAGAAGGGGCAAGTGCAACCCGATGACAGGCACTTCCGAGAGATCAAGGAAGATGCCCTCGCAGACTGAAAGGAGCGCATTGAATTTAGCAACCATTAAAATACAGCAATAACTTGGCCCTCCAGTTTCTTACAATTTACATGGGGTTCTAGGAGAACTGATATAACAAATACTTGGGAGGAGAGAATAGAAGCCTAAAAACATATAAATTATGCTGTGAGCATGTATAAATATAAGAATTAAAATATAAGTCACATTCTGTGTCACTGTAGGCTTAAAAATAGAATTTTAACAAGGTTCTGTAAGAGGGGGAAATGTGGCTTGGTACAAGATCCTCCCACAGGA